GGATTATAAGACGCACTGTCATTAAAAGGTCTATTTTCGAACTTTTTTCACAAATAAACCGCGTGGGACTTTAAAGGAAACCCAACAGTGTGATGGGTGAGTGGTTTTGTTTGTTTGTTCGTTCACGGTGACTCTGGGCTTTGTTCAGTTGTGGCGTGTAGGGAGGGTGTGTCCGGGACCAACGGATTGTCGGCGTGTTCGCAGTGACTCAGTTGTTCAGTCGTGTCTAGAAGCGGCACGTCGCGCTCGATTTTTCGATTCGTGCCTCCGTTCCGTTCCTCGTCGGCGTAGAGGCCCATAATAGCCCGGAAAATACGGTAACTGGTTGGTCATTATTAGAAGTGGATCTGGTGTTTTTCGCCCGCATAATGAGCGCGATTATTGGTCTTAATTTTCATTTACGTGGTCTTAAAATGATCTTAAATTTGGGGTAGTCAAACCTGGCGATACCCAGGCTCTGTCCATCCATCCAGTGACTTCAGGAAAGTTTCACAGTGTCACAAGTTTCTCTCTCGCTCCAAACTTTCTTTCTGCTGCTCGATTTCCGCTTTCAGCTGCAGATTTCACGACTTGCAGTTTCTAAACTCCAGAATCTGATTTTGTTTTTTGGGGGGCATTTGTGTTCAGTCTTCTCAGTCTTTGTCTTTAGAAGTTTGTTCAGAAGTAACGGTGCGATCGACCGACGTGACACAGACAGGACAGAGGCTCTTTCTGCAGGAGACATGCGCAGTAGAGCCAAGTGACAGTGGTGCAGGAGGAACAGGAGCAGCAGATCCTCACACACGAGACTAGAGCGGTCGAAGTCGCACCGGAAACACCCAAACCATGAAAAAAGTGACACTTATAGTCTTAAAAAATCGATTTCTCTGGATGCTAAACAACTTGTATTGACATCAACCGTGAAAAAACAATATCTGTGATCTTTAATCCCAACTCTGGAATCTGAACCAGAACCTTGCGCAGTCGTTAAACTTTAATTTGTGAACTTTACTACCTCCGCCTTTCGTTTCAGTCATAATATGTCCGTGTTGTGTTGATGTGGTCCGTGTTCGTGTTATGCAATAGTAGGAAAATGTGAAATCCCGTCTTAAATAACTCCACAGTGCAGCGGTGTCTTGTGTGGAGGCTGTTTGTCGCCGTGGCAGCAGCAGCAGCAGCAGCAGCAGCAGTGAGATCATGTCCATTCACAACTGTGGAAAGTCTGAGCGCCGCGTTCATGTCCGGAATAAATGTCTGAAAATACAACTATTATCTGTTCAGAGACGCTGTAATTGTGATGGTTTCCAGTGCGATCTCGGCACACGTCAGCCCCCGGCACTAGAAAGCAGAGCAAATCAAGAGTAATTAAAACAAAAACTAGTATCGAAACTGAAACTAGATTAAAAAAAGTCTCATTTGGTCGACATGATCATGGTGACAAATGACTGAAATTCTAAAAAGTGTTAAATCCAGGTTCATTTGAGAGAAAAAAGGCGATAACTAAGGTTAAATCTGTGTGTCATTCGTTTATTTGTTTTTCAAAATAAAACCAATAATAAGAAAATGAAAAACCCAACTATTTTCTTCATTATTTGTCTCCAAAACCAAAATGAAAAAATGGATAACGATTTGTTTTTTCGGTTTTCGATTTTGTGTTTAAATGAAGAATGGAAAAAAAAAAAACGGATAAAGACCATTTCTGTGACTTAAACTGAGATGCCGGATTGAACCTGGACTAAACCTGGACTAAAACAGGACTAAAACCAGGTTTAAAACCAGGTTTAAACAGGTTTAAAACATGGACTAAAACAGGACTAAAACCAGGTTTAAAACCAGGTTTAAAACCAGGTTTAAAACCTGGACTAAAACAGGACTAAAACCAGGTTTAAAACCAGGTTTAAAACCAGGTCTAAAACAGGATTAAACCTGGACTAAACCTGGACTAAACCTGGACTAAACCTGGACTAAAACAGGACCAAAACAGGATTAAACCAGGATTAAACCAGGACTAAACCAGGACTAAACCTGGACTAAACCAGGACTAAACCAGGACTAAACCAGGACTAAACCAGGACTAAAACAGGACTAAAACAGGACTAAAACCAGGTCTAAAACCAGGTGTAAAACCAGGTGTAAAACCAGGACTAAACCTGGACTAAAATCAGGACTATACCAAGTCTAAAACCAGGTCTAAACCAGGTCTAAAACCAGGTCTAAACCAGGTCTAAAACCAGGTCTAAACCAGGTCTTAAACCAGGTCTAAACCAGGTCTAAATCCAGGACTAAATCCAGGACTAAAACCAGGGACTGAGGCCCCGACCAGACCAGGACCAGATTGTGACTGAGACTGGGACCAGACCAGGACTGAGACCAGGACTGAAAACGGTTCAGTCCTGGTTCAGTCCGGCATCACAGTTTAACTCACGTAAACGTTTACCTGTTTTTTCCATTTTTCATTTAAACACAAAATCGAAAACTGGAAAAACAAATCATCATCCGTTTTTTCATTTTGGTTTTGGAGACAAATAATGAAGAAAATAGTTTTTTTTTTTCTTTTTCTTATTTTTGATTTTATGTTGAAAAACGAATGAACGAATGACACACGGATTAAATCTACGTTTAGACTGCAGCCTGAAGTTCCCAAATCTGATTTTTTTTTTTTTTTTTCGCCCCTTTGCTCCTGTATCTGCTTTTTAACAAATGTGACCCAGGACACTTGGACATGTGCTCCTAAAACCGATACATATCTGATCTTTTGACATGCGACTTCAGTCTGAACGACCAGGTCACGTCACAAATGTTCAAAAACATTCTTCTCGTCAGATGAAAATTGTCAGTGAAGCAGTGAGACTCCACACCCACATGTTCCTTCTTCTTTCTACGAACGTTGCTGCCACTGCCCCATAAAACACCACGGCCAAAACCACATCCTTCTCCTTCTCAAGCTCCTCCTTAAAACAAATCATCTGTACATGTTCGGTACGAGAGGAACTTTAAAATCTCCAGGCGCTCAATCGGGGCAGCCACGGGGTCTTAAAAGTGTTAAAAAGATCTTAAATTTCATGTTAAATTATGTTGTCCAAGTTTTATTTTTTTCACAAAGGCCTTAAATTTCATTAGCCTATTTATTTTTATTTTTTTTTTTTGCTATGTTAACTCTTTCTCCCCTGGACGCCGACTAGGAACAACCCATACATATGTTACTAGTTCTACCCATAGAGCATAACTGCATAAAAGAAAACAAACTTCCACGAGTGATTATAAATGATTTTTACACTCATGAACTTAATTGTAACACAGACATATTTGTATCTCTGGAAACCTTAGACTCTGAACTCTTCATTTATGGATGTTTAAATGTGATTCAACTCATTTACAGGTTTATAACAGCTCAATGAAAATGAGAGTTTACCTGGTCAGGTGCAAACTCGAAAACAAAAAACTACATTCAGCATCTGATATCTGCATGTTCTGAAAACTATATTCATAAAAAAATAAAAAATATACTTTGTCAAAGTATTTAAACAGATTTCATATCACCAGATACAGTAAAGCCAAGTGTTCACCTGTTTTTACCTGTTGTTCACCTGTGTGCACCCAATAAATTTTTTTCCATTTAACTTATTCAACTTATTTTATTTATTCAACTAATTTAGCTTATTATAATATAATAATAAAACTCTTCCCCGTCAGTGTGTGTCCAGTATTTGTCATCTTGGTTATTTTCTCGTGTGCAGAGCTCCACATAAGTGTTTTTTCTGTAGCGATTCTGTTATACGTCGCATCTTGGAAAAAAAAGACTGAAATATTTTAAAGGACTGGCCTGGGCAACATCCAGATTTCAGGGCAATTTTGGTTCATAATCGAGTATAAAGCTCAGATAGTTTGTTGGGACATCGCAGGACTCCGATACAGACGCATCAGCGGCATCTCACCTTCTCCCCGAAAGTCCGTCGCTGTCGCTGTTTTCCACTTTATAATCAACTTCAACATCATCACTTTGAAATCTTTAAAATCTATAAAAGTCACTTTCTCTAAACTTATCCATAAAATACGTCCGCTCCTCATTATTTCTAAAACTGTGCAGCGCCGCGATCTTTCCATTGCTCGTGTTTCCTGTTGTGTTTTTTCTGGAAGCTACCATCGTCACTATTTCGATTAACTTCGGAAAAAATCGGCAAAACATATATCCTTGAATCCTATTGGTCAGTCTAGTGTGGGTTGTAGTGGCCCTGACCGATCACAGTCTCTGTTTACATGTGAAAAACCGAGCCGTTTCTAAAGGTCGTCAAATCTCGTCTTTAGTGATACGGCGGAGGAGTCAAAAGTCGTCATTAAGGAAACGGGGGTCGTCAAATGTCGTCTTCATGGGGGAAAGAGTTAAATGGAGGGAGTAAAAAAACAACATCGTGTCTAATTTGGAGTATGGTTTTCATTTTAATGGTCTTCAAAAGGTCTTAAAAAGTCTTAAATTTGGGGTAGTGAAACCTGGAGATACCCTGTCAACTCTTCGTCCATGTTTAGGCGACTTCCATGTCCTCCGATGCTCGTGCGGGACACTTTTGGGCATTTAAATTTCACACTGGGGATCACAAACAAGTCGCATTTAATTGGAAATGTGAAAAAAGTCGGATTCCACAAAAAAATCCGAGCCCTGCGGTCTGAACGTCGCCTAACGATTTGTTGTATTTGATACGTTTTGACTCTTCTAATTGTGAGTTTGGCAAAATTAAACTGACTTGAACAGCATATTTCTCTTACTAATGAAACTCGCAAAACTAAATTATGCACAAAGCAAATCTAAATCGGAAGGAAAAAAGAAAATTGACTACTTCTGTTTGCATTTAAATATAGAAAACCTTGACTGAAGCTTCGAATGTCACAATAGCAAATTTTAGTGTTTGATTATTGTGAAAAAAAAGATATAAATACGCATTGGAATATAAAAAAGTGCTATTATTTAATTCTCCGTTGTCACTTGTGATTTTTAACCCGCTCTGTTTCTCTTCTCGTCTGTGCAGTATAACTTCGTGGGGAGAATCCTGGGCCCGCGAGGACTCACGGCCAAACAGCTGGAGGCCGAGACGGGATGCAAGATCATGGTGCGAGGCAAGAGCTCCATGAGAGACAAGAAGAAGGTAAGATCGACTCGCAAGGATCCTCCCGCGTCGAAACTCTCTTTACCGAACCAGCCCGGGCTCCACAAGACAAACACTTACACTCCAATATGTTTGTTTATTTATTTATTTATTTTGCACATATAACATGACAATAAAAAGAGACTAGATAAAAAAGTAAGTCCCGGAAGAGGCAAAAAACCCAATAGGGCGAAATTTTAAACCCTCCACCTCATGAATACATTAAAAATTTTACATTATTGTGCATAAAAAAAATAGAAATATATAGAAAAATGACATTTAAACACCATGGATTAAATTCTTTTGATTCAAACATAGATTAAAACACAATGAAACATCCATAATTGAAAGATGATCAAACATTCGCATGAAATATCAAACATTTCCTCAAACTCTTTTAAAACAACGCTTCTGATCTGCCGTCACTAACCGGATGTGAAAACTGGCTCCAGAATTTACCGCTTCTGTATCGAGGCAAAACTGAGCTCAAATTTTGGAATGAAAATTGTGAATTTGACGAGTTTTGTGTCTATGAATCTCTGCATTGGTCTTAAAATAAAATGTGAAATGTTTGGGGATCGTTTTTAGAATTTTATACATAAAAATACTAATTTGATAAATATTAATCCCATAAATATTAACAATGTTAAGTTTGGTGAATAAATGAGAGAACGTAAGCCAAGGCAAGTTTATTTGTACAGCACAGAAGTAATTAAAAGTGCTTTACGGAATAAGAAATACATCAAAATCGCAACGCAAACAAATCAAAACATAAATAATCATCAGAAGTGAGAGGAGTGACATGCTTCGCTGCAAAAAAACACATCTGATTGGAGGTTTGTGTCTGAATCTTGCTCGAGTCGTGACCGTTAACTGTCTGGACTTTCCAGGTGAAATGATGAAAACATACAGTATTTAGTCTGCGGGTTTAATCCTGTCATGAGTTTCTCACACGACATCGCTTCAGCTTTATCCGGGTCAAATTTGGTCATGATGATGAAGTTCTGCATGTTTTTTTCATGTGAATGTAAAAACGAAACTGTGTTTTTTGGGCTGTGGACCTGTAGTTTTTTAGTTGATTACCGTATTTTTCGGACTATAAGGTGCACTTAAAATCCTTTTAATTTTCTTAAAAGTCAACACTGCGCCTTATAATCCAGTGCAATTATGTATTAATTCTAGCCAGGCTGGAGCCATTTAGTGCCTCCGCTCAATTTAATTTCTCTCCAGCGACTAGATCAGGAATCAGAATCCACTAGACCAGGGGTGTCCAAACTTTTTTCATCAAGGGCCACATCTCTAAACACAGACGAAGCAGAGGGCCGATCGAGGGCCGTAGACTGGAGCTCAATACAGCGAATCATTGAAATATGTGCATGTTTAAACATGTTAGAATGACCCATAAGTTTTTATTCAAGCTAAGATCCTTAAAACCAAACACTAAATATTAAATATTTGCTTTATCGAGGTAGATTTTCAAAAAGCTTGCAGTGAAAAGTACATTTTTAATTGATGCAAGGTAATTTGGGCCCATTTACCTGGAAGCTTGAGGGCCAAGAAAAATTTGTCTGAGGACCGCATTTGGCCCATGGGCCATAGTTTGGACATGCCTGCACTAGACGATTCACAAAAACCCCGGAAGTGTGCGTTTGGTCACCAGCCAATCCATAGCCGTAGCCAAAGACAGACATTCTGTGTTGTCAACGATTCCTGAGCGCGGCGCTCAAAAATCTGTCAGAATGTTTTATTACGACTGCGAACCGCTTGATGGATTGTCGGAGCAGTACGGCTGCTGTAGTCAGGAGCCTCGTGTCGTTTAGTCCGACGGAAGCTGAACCGCATCAGCGCACAAGGAGCGAGCTGTTTTTTTCAGAGCTTATAGTTTATGCAAATGAGTCATGTGGTTTTAAGTTTCTTTCTGTAAAACGTAAACAAATGTGCTCAAAGCTGCTTTAAGCACATTATTACTCATTGTATATTTGAGTCGTCCTCATAGGAAATTAAAAAAACAAACTTAAAAAATGATCCATTCACATTCATAATCCACATTCACCAAAACAGGGAGGAAACGCCGGGCGAATTACGCCACGTTCTACCGACGGATCGTGGACGCCTGGACTAAGGATCAGTCTCAAATGTTGTACGTTTGTTTCACTTAATGCTCCTTATAATCCGGTGCGATTTATGTACGAAAATAGACGAGAAAATTCAGCATTATTGATATTGCGCCTTATAGTCTGAAAAATACGGTAAACGGTTTATGGTTAATCTGCCAAAATTTGTATTAATGAATGTTTCCTAGTCCTTTTTTTTGCATAAATCCTTGTTTTTGCGTGAACTCCGCCTGCAGATGTTGTATTGTGAGTTCACTTTGGGTCAGACACACAGAGAACACTTATTAGAGCTTTTGTCACACCCGTTTTTAGTCGACAAATCAATCTGCAGGACATTTTTAGTTCACCGTGAATCTCTTTAAGTCACCCACACCCCTTTAGTACTTTTCCCTTTCGCGTCTGAATCCCGTTTGGAAAAGTTACCGCTCCTGACAACACTCTAGCACTTGTTGGTGAACATGACCTCACCTTGCGGGACGCGGGGCCCTCCTCTCCTCTCCGCTGCCCCGGCTCGGCTCCCGGGGGCGGGGGCTACTGTTACGCGATCCGACCCGGCGGTAAGCGCGTGGAAACTCATAAGGCAGGAGCCGAGTCAGAGCCGAGAGTCTATTTGTGGAAGCGACGGAAGATATTTGAAAAGCACAGGTGTGACCGAGGGGACCTTTTGTTAATGGGACTTTCCATTATTTTAGCATCTGTGGAAAATGTCAATATATCTACTTTACGAGGCTGCTGCTTAAGCTACATTTTGACCGTCTTTATTCATGATCCGCTCGTAAAGTTTCCCGTTTTAGCAACAACGCTGTTCTTAAGAGTTGGTCCCCGTAGACGAATGTGTCCTCCGCGTTTGGACCCATCTTTCGACGTAACTGGGACAAACTGCAACTGGAAAATCTTTAGGTAAAGTCTTGATTAGGTTAAGTAAAGTTAAGTTGCGCTTTGTCGTTTTTCTGCATTTGACCCGTCTCTAGAACTTCGAGAATTAAACCGTTGTGCGTGAGTGGGTTCCACGCTGCTAGACATTGATCTAATTGTCAGAGTAGCGGCATAAACATTATTTTTCAAGCATGTCACTACTAGGGATGGGCATGATTAATCGATTAATCGATAATTGATCATTAAGAATTTCATCGATTATGTAAATTTTAATCGACAAACCGAATGTAGGTTGCTGTGTGTGTTGTGATCAAACAGAGGTCTGTACAAGTAGCTCTCTGCATCAGAAGGAGCGAGACACAAACAGTCAGTCAGTTCGCCTGTAACGTACCGAAGTGCACATGCGTATTTAAAGACGACTTGTACAAGAAATTCCACACTTTCCGTTGCGTTGGGACAAGTGTGAGTCCATGTGCACAGTGGATAAAGCAGCACATATGTTTCTGTGTCCAGTGGGAAAAAGTTTTTCCAGGTGAGAGTCGCTCAATGTGGATGACGAGGCCCCGCCCCCCTCCCCCCGTACGCTGTCCTGGTTTTGACAAACACAAATCTGGTCACACTGACCTGTATTCACCTGAGTCATGTCTTTTAATCCAACACAAGTTGAACCACATCAGCGACACAAGAGCTGGAGTTTTATCTTCACTTAGTTTATGTAAATTAGTGATGTGGTTTTAAGTTTTGTTTCTGTGAGATTTGAACAAAACTGAATTAAACACATTATAATGTCAAACAGCTGATGTGGATCTAGAGTCGTTATGTTTATATGTCGTAAAGTTGAATTTATTTATGCAGATTAGTGCAGATAGTAATAATAATGATGATCATTTTAATATAAACACGTTAATGATTAATCGATAATCGATCGTTAATTCTCTCGACGATCGATTAAGAAAATTTCATCGAATGCCCGTCCCTAGTCACTACGTCGACTTTTTTTGTTTTTCATTGTCAGAGTCGGCGCTTTACTATTTTTTAAACCTTCCGCTTTTCTGACATTATATTTTATACTTTGCGCTCCCATATATCTTAAAGGGACAGTACGGAATTTTGGACATAGGGCCTCATTTCCCAGACACTTTTTGAAATATTCCATCCGATCCTTGTATTTGCAGAGGTCTTACGCACTCCACAAAACACTCGAAACAAATCTATTATTACTCCAGACTGTCCATGTGAATGTTTGTGCGATAGAATAATGTTTGAAATAAAACTAACCTTGCATCGCATGAATCGTCGCATGTTGAGGGACTATTTTGTCATATCAGGAAGAACAACTCACTGCTGCTCAGACATAAATCCTTCAAATGCAATTTTAGTTTTACTTCTAAAATTATTCTACCAATACAGACATTTACATGGACAGTCTGGTGTAATAATACATTTTTTTTGGGTGTTTTGTGAAGTGGGTAAGACTGTTTTTAGTGGCAGGAGAACTATGACCATTGCACCAGTGACCTCTGCAAATACAAGGACTGGATGGAATATTTTAAAAAGTGTCTCCACACGTCTCCAAACACTCTGGATCACGAGAAAATGAGGCTTTATGTCCAAAATTCCGGACTGTCTCTTTAAGATGCTTGGGCACGTGTCGGAATAGCGATACTAAAAAGCAGAGGTGGAGACTTGCAAGTCATGATTTGGACTCGAGTCAAACTTGAGTCACTGTTTTTAGGACTTGAGACTTGACTTGATAAAATAGACAAAGACTTCGGACTCAACTTGGACTTGAAGGTCGGTGATTTGGGACTTGAGGCCTGTGACTTGAGAAGCACTTTTCAAATCAATTTTTTTTCTATTCTGATCATAATAATTCACACTAAGGCCTTTTAAATGTCTTGATAAGATCTTAGTGTGAATTATTACGATCAGAATAGAAAAAAATTCTGATTTAAAATAATAATAATAATAAATAATAATACGTCAGACTTATATAGCGCTTTTTTGGAC